TTTGGGCCCTTTGGGGCGCAAATACATTGTACATTGCTTATCCCCTGAGGGCCCAAACGACGGTAACTGGTATCGACGTCCCTGATAGAGGTAGACAGGCGCACATGTGTTTTCAATTTTGAGGGATCGACGGTGAGCGGGCCCATAAACCCCATAACGAGTTATAATCGTTTTAACAGCACGTTTTTTGACGATTTTTCTCGATTTTTTTTCAAATCAACGGAGATTGTTTATTTGAAAAATATTGACCGAATGTGTTTTACATTGACTTCAGAATGCATCGTTTTTTTTTCAGGTCGGTTCGGCAATTCTACAACGAGATAGCCGCAGTCGACATTTCTATTAATTAAATAAATGATTATTACAATATTGAGTTTTTTCTTCTCTCGTTGGCTTCCCAAGGGCTCAATAAATCTCTGGATAAATTGACGATTTAAAAAAAAAAATTTCTTACGTATGGTAGCGGTTCAAAGTTTGCTGACTTTTACGGACCCTGAAAATCGGGGGGTTTTTCGGCTTCTCACCGTGATTGTAAATAAACTAATCAAATTAAAAACTTGAAACTTCGTATTGGGCGAGTGAAATACTTATATTACACAGTACAATTGGTCTCATATTTTTACGATTTTTTTACGACAGTAGATCCAGCAGCCGCTAGCTAGTGGCGAGGAAAAAAAATGTTCATAACAAAATAAGTTTGTTCACGACAAGCAATAAACGGTTCATTTTCGCGAGTGAACATACAATTATTATTGAAATGAAATTTCACAAAATCAAGCATTCAAATATTTAATATCTTTTACTGAAAATAATAGTGAAGTTTTCGCACATTCACATTCTCATAAACAAACAAGTTCGTTCGCGACAGACAATAAAGGGTTCATTTTCGCGAGTAAACATGCAATTAATATTGAAATAAAATTTGAAATCAAGCATTCAAATATTTAATATCGTTTATTGAAAATAATAATGAAGTTTTCGCACATTCAAGTGATTACATGTTCCAAATTAATTTTGTATTCCCCACTGACAACAATGCTTCAGTCGTGTTGGACGTATTACTGACATTACAATGCACGAGCAATGTGACATCATACGATCACTTCAACATTGCCGCGGAATTTACGCAACAACAATGACATTCGATAGATTCACTGTATGACAGTTGTGATGCGACTGTGTGCCAGAGATGACAAATTACCGAGTGACGTCCAAGAAATTAGAGTGGAAGAACCTATGGCGATGTATCAGTGTGTCCAGTTGGCACATACATCATCTCAATTCCTCGGGCTGAGTTCATAATATAAGCTGGACTAGTGCAGATGGGGAATTCCTCGAGAGAGATTATTGCCAACGTTATAATTGCGAAATTACGATGCAGGCGCTGTAAAATGCAATTGCAATTCCCATCTCGTGATGAATAATTTCGAGTACAGTCAAGGCTTCATATAAGATACCTCTCTATAAGATACCTCGCGCTCCGAGTGGTGGAGGCCTACCCCCCCTCTCGGCACTTTTATCGCCTCCTGAATGTCTAGTTCCGTGGGCTTCTTATAAGATACCTGTGGCCTCGATCATTTTTCAACGGGAAACGAGTGATAATCAGGATCAAACGGAGTTAATGGGAGACTACTGTGAATTTTAAAAGTCGTGGGTTATTGGAGTGAGATTTTTCATACGTTAAAGATCGATTATATACATCTGAAAACGAATAATTAGTGCATAAAAAATTTTTTTTAATTTTTCGTTTCCCCGAAAACGCTTAAAATGCCAAAAACAGTCCAGGGCCTCCAATTTTTGAGCTACGAAGGATTTTTTTCTTTCAAAATTTTCAGAAAAATACGTGGAATAATAATTACGCGCTATTTTTTTTTAATTCGCCTCTTACATGGCTAAATTTGCTTTTTTTATATTTCTTTACACAAATAGTGAATTTTTTTATATGAAAAAAAAATGAAATCAGCTGTGTAGGAGTCGAATTCTAAGAAACTGGCTCGTAATTGTTGTTCCACACATTTTTCCGAAAATTTTGAAAAAAAAATCTTTTGTAACTCAAAAATTGGAACCCCTGGACTGTTTTTAGCATTTTAAGCGTTTTCAGGTAAACGAACGACAAAAAAAATTTTTTTTTGCACTAATTATTCGTTTTCAGATCTATATAATCGATCTTCAACGTATGAAAAGTCTCACTCCAAAAACCCGTGACTTTTAAAACTCATAGTAGTCTCCCCTTAATCCCTCACGGACGGGACCCTTTTGTTTCCAAGCGTAGAGTACGCTCGATACAAGTAAAATGTAATGACTTCTAATTAACGGAAAATTATGAAACCGATATGTAATTGAATCTACAATATTCGTTTTTTCGTTGTTATTTATTTGATGGAGTTAAATTCCATATAGTTTTGAAAATAATTAATTTTAAAGAGTCATTTTTTCGTGGGTCGATGCATAGTATCGACCCCGTTCATGAGGGGTTAAAGGTCAAACGGGAAGGACGAACGAAGTAATCATAAGGGTCCAATGACCTTAAGGGTCAAGAGATCAAACATGAGAGTCAAGTGAAGTAATCAGAAGGAAATAATTATTCAAACGATGACGCAGAATGATCTTAAAAGAATAAAGCCTAATTAGAATTCAATTAATTTACGTACTTTCAATAATTTGTACTTCAGCTGTCCAGAAGTGATTATTCTCAAGTCCACCAACAATCCCCCAACATCAGCTGCCATTCTATCACGCGGAGTTATGTTTAGAGAAAAAAGGGAATGCGGGCTATACTAATTCAAAACATTAAACTCTTATAAATTGATTAGTGATCAATATCCATTCAGTAAAAATAAATATTCAGTAGTAATACCCCAAGAGCTTCAAAATTATCGCGTATTTCCCGATCGCTTCGTTGCAAACAAATGGGGGTGGCAAGTTCTGCAGGTTAAAAAATCCTGAGCGCTTGCACGAGGAATTTTTTTGCAAAACTTGGCACGATGGTTTGTTTGCAGAGGAGCTTGAGGGAAATACCCGATTAATTTTGAATCTCGAGGGGTATTTGTCGGATTATTTTTCCCAATTAGATTTTGGCCAAGCAGAGTGCAGTGAACAACATCAGGAGGTGAATTGGGGAAAATTTGAACAAATTATGTTAATAAAATAACCCGATTTCCATAGACTGTCAAATATAAGATTCAATCTGAAATGAGCCGAAAAAAGAAGAGTTATTGCGAAATATTCAGGTAAGAAAAATGAAGAACTACTGCGAAATATTCAAAAGCTAGGAGGAATTATCTGAAATAAAACTGTTGGGTAGCCCCAAATACTGCGCTCTGATTGGTCGAAATCCGATTGGGAAAAATAATGCATAGAATTCGGGCGCAACGAGCGAGGTATCTTATACTGGTTACTCCCTAACATTTCAGCCTCTGGGGCCAGAATTCAAGGAGTTAAATGTTCGGGAAGCCCTTACTCTTCCGTTGGAGGCGGAGCTAGAAAAGAGATAAACAGAGAGAAAGAATCTGACTGTTTCACTCTCACGCGCCGAGAGTAATTTTACTGCGCAGACCCGTCGCGCAGATTTACCCAAACGCATTTACGTTGCCGATGGTGGGGAAAGTCAACCTCTCGAACTGAAATGTTAGGGAGTAACCACAGTTTTTCAAACCGTTGATCCCTATTTTTTTTCTTTCTATAAGTGTGCGTAGTGGGGGTATACGGATTCCAGGAATTCCACTCTCCTACTGTCCCTAAGGTATCTTATATAAAACCTTGACTGTATTTTCACAGAAAATATGAAGGCCAGGAGAGAGACAAGGCTTACCCTCGGCAGGCGCTGGTTCCGCTGGCGGAGGTGCCGGAGTTTCTCCTTCGGGGGCTGGGGCTGGGGCTGGGGCATCAGCGGGAGGGGCACCTTCTGCTGGGGCACCTTCCGCAGGAGGTGCTGTCTCTGCACCCTCGGCTGGAGGTACTGGAGATGGAGAGGGCTCAGGTGGAACTGGAGTTAGAGCTGCTACTAGCGCACCCTTTCCTGTTTGGAGCAATGTTTCATGTAATTTATGCACGGAGAGAAACGTTGGATAAAAACAGCGCGCTACGGCGTTTCCCTCGTGAGATGACCGATCTAAGTTTAAGGTTTTCGAAAAATCTTACTTCAAGACTTTTGAAATCTTGAAACATGGTATTTTTTGTGCAGCACGAATCTAAAGTTTTGGTTGAAATTACGTTCGAATTGAATCAAAGGAGAATTAAAAATGAATATTCATCTTTTTTCCGCATAGTTTTACCCAAATTACCGTAAAATTACCGAAAAAATCGTATAGAAATTTTCTAGACGGAGAGAAATATTCAATAAAAATTATCAGAAAAAAGACGTAAAAATTACGTTTCGAAACGTAATCTGGGAGCGAAGTAAAATTCAATAAAAAGTGTCAATCGTCACGTAAATTCTACGATCTGTTCGGTAAAAATTACTCATCCGTCCGACGCCTCACGGCTAGCCATGAGTCACCGTGAGGGGGAGATTTTAACAACACGTTCCGTAATTTTTCCGGAACTTTTCGTAAAAATTTATAAAGATCCAAGAATTTTCATGTTCTGAGGCAGAATAAGTCTTGAAGTTTCTGTTAGATTTTACAACTTCCAGAAAAATTACGTGACTCTTTCGTACTTTTTCGGTGACACCCGAAAATTTACTGAATGTTTCAGATTTATTCTCTCATATTCCTATAGAAATTCACCGAAAACGATTCTCGCTTGCGGATTACGTGAAATGTTCCGTAATTTTTCTTGAATATTTCTCTCATGTATACGAATTATTTCTATACAAATTATCTCTCTACGTTTTTTCTGGAGCGTTTAGGTATCTTTCGTATGAAAACAAAAAATTAATGTAAAAATTTATGTATAGAAATAATTCGTGTAGAAAATATTCGTATAGGAATATCCAAATATTATATACGGAAATCATACAGAATTTGTATACGCAATCCGTACAGAAAATTTCTATTAGTATACTGTGTTACTAGTGCGTAAAGTTCCACTTTTTCATACGCACGTGTAACACATCCTATTTTTTGTGGTACCTTCCGAGTTCACTTTTCGAAACGGTAGTTGGGGTAATATGGTTGTTTTTGTGCACGAGTGCGTAAAGTTTAAGGGGGTGCGTAAAGTGAACTTTGCGCACGCCGTGCGGAAAACAACCGCTTTACGCACATTAATCCGTTTCGAAAAGTGCACTTTTGAGGCAGGTATCACAAAAACGATTTTTTCATACGTGTCCGCGAGTTGTCACGTTATTTTTCTTGGAGCTTTTTCCCCATATATCCATGTGTCTCCCTAAAATTTCCCGTTGCCATCTGTTTTTTCTTCCTCTGATGACCCATTCAGTTAGTAACATTGAATTGAGACTTCTCTTGAAAGAGAGAAGAATCAACCTACCTGAACATCCGCCAACACAACACTGACAGAACTCCCCGCATTTGCAGCCACCCATACCACCGCAACCTGGAATTGCAGCAAAAAGATAGTAAATGGAAATTGAAGAAGTTCTGATGATGGAATGAACTGAGTTTCTTCTGGTTGCAATTTATACAGCATATCTCGTGAAATCTTCTCCATCGTCAAGTCTAAAAGACTGCGCACATATTTCATTACAAAGTATATTTCATTACAAAGACCTTCAAAATCATCGGATATTTTCTCTTTAGTTGTGGGCAGAATAAAAGAAAATTAAATTTTCCAGAATTGCCAGAATTTTTGAGAATTCCTGCAATAAAAAAAAAGCCCAATGTTTTCGACTTTTCTAGAAAATCTGAGAATTTTCTAGAAAATTCAAAAGTTCTTTCGAATTCTCTATGAAATCAAAGAATTTTTTCGAATTGTGCAGAAAACCCGAGAATTTCCTGGAATTTTCTGTAAAACCAAAGGATTTTCTCGAACTTTCTTTAAAACTCAAGAATATCCTCAAGCTTTGTAGAAATCTCAAAAAGATTCTCGAAAACTCGAGAATGTTCTAGAATTTTCCAGAAAGCTCCAAAGTTTTCTCAAAGTTTCTACGATCACTAAACTGAGCACAGTAGTGCAATAACTCATAGCCTAAAGCCGATTGGGGACCCTAAACTACGTAATAGTAAAAATACTATTGAAATCCATTCAGTCATTTTTGCATGAATCGCAGCCAAAGAATGGGCAACCGATTTATTGTACTTAAGATTAGGTGAAGAATTCAGTTTGAGAAGAAATTTCAGCATTAAAAAATTATCCCAATTGAACAATTACCTGTGGGAGCTGCGCCTTCCGCTGGTGGTGCGCCATCAGCTGGGGGTGCATCACCAGGCTGTCCTTCCGCAGGGGCTAAACCGCAACAAGCCACATTACAAACCCACCGATTAATTCAAAATTCCTAAATCATAATATTCATAATGATTAATGACCTTCAACAGCGCCATCAGCGGGAGCGTCGCCGGATGGTGCTGAAAAATTTCATTGACAGAATGAGAGATTTATATTTCTATCACGGAATGCACGCTGTTCCAGTACCTTCGCCGTCAGCGGGGGGCGCAGGTGAGGGTGCAGGCGAGGGTGGCTCAGGCGTTGGTGCTGGAGGTACTTCAGGAGGTATTGGAGATGGTGTGGGGGCAGGCGTCGATACAGCTGATGTCGATACAGTTTCCGTTACAGAGGTTACTGTTAAATCTGGGGTCGGCGTCGCTAGGTCAGCCGCTGCTGCTGCTTCCTCCTGTTTCTGCGCATATTAGTTCATGGTTGAAGTGGATCTCTTCAATCGGTTATGAGGACAAATACAAACCGCAAACACATTTCACTTGGTTACGATCGAGCACGAGTTGTTTGAGTTATGAAACATTGTCTGTTGACGTCTGGTGCTTCCATAGATATTTAACCCATTTTCCTTAGTAGAATTCTTCTGTAGGAAACTTTCTGTAAATTTCTGTTGACAGGGATGTTCGAAGTGATTCGCGCGATAGTCGAATTTATTCGATTTCGACCCTTTCCTGAGATGTGAGGCCCAGGTATACTCCTTGGTACGTCAATCCTTTCCAGGGGCCGCGGAACCATAGTGGAGTTTATTGGTCACTCCATACTTCAAAATTTTTGAAGTGTGGAAATCCACATCTCAAAAAAATTGAAAAAAAATAATTTTTCTCTCTAGGATTTCCTCCAGAATTCCCTAGGATTCACAAGACTTCCACCGAAAATTTCTACACGATTCCTCCTAGGATTTTCTGTAAGATTTATGGCTTTTTCTACAAAAAATTTTCCACAGTTTCACCTCTAGAATTTCTCCAGAATTCCCTACGATTCACAAGTCTTCCGGCGAAAATTTCAAAAAGATTCCTCCTAGGATTCCCTGCACGATTTGCTATAAGATCATCTACATGATTGCATTCAGCACCGCCTACACAATTTTTTACATCCATAATATCCAACAATGACCAGTACAAAGTTGCAGTTACCTTCAACTGTTGGGGTCTAACATCACTGTTGATTTATTTGAAAAATCATGAGAAGCGAGAGAAAGTCAAGGAGCCGTCAGCAAACACGATGTTTGCAACATATTTACATATTCGACTGCCATCGTCTGCCATAAAAATGACAATCTCAAGTGTAATCACCGATCTCGAAGAGCGAATTACGTGTCATTATACGCCCACCGTGGTGGGATCACAACGCGCGGATGTCAGTGATTTAAAACTCACAACCGGCAATTAGGACGCAAAAGCGTCTAGACACGGACAGGGTTCCTCCGGTGCTTTTATATATTGGTACCATGAATTGTAAGATGCAACGTTTCAATGACTGCATTTTGAATGTATGCATTCAATACGTATTTGAATTTCGGAAGGCAATGGCATCGATGATTTTAATTCCATCAATATTTCTGGTTCAATTAATGGAGAAATCTAATTAAATGTCATTGAGTAGAATTGCCGCTGGGGGAATCGTGCCGAGAGAAATAATTCATTCCAATTAAATTGATGACTTGATTTCGAGTTTCTATATGCGAGTGAATTATTCTTTCCAATTGGAATTCAATGATTTTAGAACAGAGGCTTCAAGCGGATAGATTCATTCGGATGGAATGGACAACCGCTTGCGTCGAATCCCTCGACATGAAATTTCCAAGCTAATTCCGCGATATTTGAATTTTCGGATCTCGTGGAGAAATAGAAGCAAAAAATTTAGAAGATTCGGAATTTATAGGGGAAAAATTGCTACAGCGAGAGCTGTACACAGAGAAAATGATTTTTTTTCATTCTATTTTGCTTTTCTTTTCATTAAGAAAATCAAAGATCAAAGAAAACCAAAAACTTGGAAAATTCTGCCGAGGAAATTCTATAGAAAATATCGAATTCTGTTGACATTTCAATAGAATCCGTCAAAAAATAATAGAAAGTTCAATAAAAATCCAATAGAATTGTCTAGCGAATTCACTAGGTTTTTTTTATTAAATTTGTTCATACGTGTAAAATTGGGTGGTACTCAACATTTATTAATTAATGAAAAATCCGACCGCAGCCGGGTCAGGTAGAAATTCCTGTGACTTTTCTCTGCTTTCTCACCGATTATTCATATTTTCACAAATTTAAAATTATCTATTAGTCGTGGAAATAAATACTGTCCTAATAGAATTCTCCAGGGATTTCTATGGAAAGTCTAAAACAGTCTTGATACGAGTGCGTCTACACTGAGAAAAAAAAAAGTTTTTTGAGAAGTACCTCTTCACTAGTATCAAGAAACTCATGGCTCGAAAATTAATAAGAAGAAAATATCTTGTACTGAGGAAGAAAAAACTTTCATCCAGAGAATTTGTACTTGCTTCAAAGACGAGAGAATTTGTTTATGACAAGCAAGTGATTTCTCAAATCAAGTTTAGTTGACTCACTTTATTCAATAGTTTTCAAGTCCCTAAGCCAAAATATTTCAATGCAAGAACCCCTTGGCTTGGTTCGTGAAGTCGCTTTCTTCTTGTGAACAAATTACTCCTTATCTTTTGGACAAGTAAAAAATTTCTCGACAAAGGTTATCTTTTCTCAATGTGAGATGATTTCTTTGTGTCAATTTTCGAGCCATGAGTTTCTTGATACTAGTAAAGACGTACTCCTCAAAAAAATATTCCCTCCTTGTACTGCAAAAGTTAATTCAGTAGCGAAGTGGTAATACGGTACAAGTCAATTTTGACTATGGACCAGTTTTCAATGAATATCTCGGAATCTAAGGGAAATAGCAAAACTTTTGTTATAACGTCTTTTATAGAGCCGATTAAGAGCTATAACCACTGTAATTGCGAAAATTTCGCTATCTGTTGGATATCGGCTTTCAATACAATGAGGCCTTCTGCCTAATAGAACCCTCACTAACACTTGTTGACATTCCCGTGTCAACCGAAATAATGTATTTGAGTTAGTCGTGTCTCAGCAATTAAACTGAACAGTCGAGTCTATTGTACACAGGTGTTATTATTCCAAATCCTCTCGCAGCCACATCCTATATATCCTGATACATCTTTATTAGGATTATGGCGATAAATGAAAACAATCGTAATTGATTATTTGAATTTAACTGGTTTTATTAATGAGGGCACGTCTTTACTCTTCAAAGCTCTCCGAGAGACTGTTTCGACACAAAGAAATTGGTGCCGAACTCTGGTCAAAAATCTGATCCATAAAGAGGCATTCATCCTACTCCTCCACTCTACTGAGACTAAACAAAATTCTTATAAACACTCTGACTCCGGTGTTATTAAACATACAATCCATACCAAGAAAAATGAACTCATTAGAGATGGCTTTTTGCCTTCATCTACGTCTCACCCATATAATAATTCCAACAATCTTCAATACTATGTCCCTTAGATTCCGAATTATTCCTCAAAAACTCAATTGGGAGATAAGTCGACTTAAACCGTTTTACCACTTCGCTACTGAATTTATTGTGGAGAAAAGTTATTAATACAGAATGTTTTTCGAACAATTCATGTTGAGCGCAAAATAAATTGAAACGAAAAAAACATTGATTGAAGACAGTGAATATGAATAAATGAAAATTTCAAAAAGAACAAAATGACTCGAGATAATTGACGACGTGAGGTCCATGAAACAGTTCTATACGATCCCAACAATGTTTATTTGCACCAGATAAATTATTTCCGCGGCGCGAACAAGAATGAAAACAATAACTCCAAATTTCCAATTCAAAGCACATTAAATCGCGTTATGAATAACACCTCGTTTCATATTTAATCGGAAAAAAATCCCAGTCGGTTGGCCAACGAAACGTTTAACGACACAGTAATAAAGCAAAATGCACCAACGTACCCAAACCATATGTTTATACAATTGTAGCCAACGTGTCGAAGGCTCGTAATCAAGCGAAATCGGATAGCAAAGTGTTATTAAGCGAAAACTCGTTAGTAACATACCTACCGATCCGTGGCGCCCGCGTGGAATCACATTTCCTGCAATCAAATCTCACTTTCATCGAGCTGGGTTCAAATTTCATCCATAACAGGCCGACCATGCGCTACCGACTATTATTTTTGACCAATTTTGTGGATTTTATGACTGTGAGAATGTGTGAATTTATTGGCATGTATTTTTAGACTTTGGGGCCTGCAGGTAGGGAGCACCAAGCTTCATGCCATTTTAGGATTGTGGAACCATAAATTATGAAAAAAAAATTCGGTTCGGCGGGGTTTAATCAATGACGGAGAGGTGAAACGAGGGGAGTGCATGATAAAATCGTTCATGGTGGAAAATTATTTAGGGAATGAGCAGTTTGTTGCATATTTTATGGGTCCGTTGTAGATTCCACGTAGATTGACAATGAGAAAATAGTATATTTCGTCATTAGGCCGAAAAAAACTTTTCTAGCGAATATGAGGCTTGCAGCATGAGCCGAAGGCGAGGGCTGCAATCATATTCATCAGAAAAGTTTTTTTTTACTGTATGACGAATAATATTTTTTGTCGTGGCGGCCATAGGCAGAGATTCACGGACGCGGAGCGTCCGCGAAACGCTGCCTTACGGCCGGAATAACAAAAAAAGTTTTTTGAGAAATTCGTTCTCACGTAGAAAAAAATTCAATTGAAAAACTTAGCGAATTCGCTGAAAATTCTAGTGGGATTCTATTAAAATTGTGGGGAACGCTCGTTAAAATTCTATTTTTTTGCGTTGATGCTATGAGATATTTAATAGAAAAAAGTCAATAGATTTCAATTTTTCTATATGAACTAGGGGCTACGCTTCCTGCTCGCTCCGCTCGCCAACCCCCATTCTCCTTATTTTGACCCTTGTGAACCTCAATTGTCGAGTCTTAATTTCAAGTACCAAAATTTGACCACCAGAAGTCGATTTGGATTTTTATAATATAGAGAGTCATTCTCTTGGAATTTTTTCTATAAGAATACTTGGGTATGAATTTTCTAAGGTTTTTTCACTCGGATCCTGCAATGCAAAACAAAACAAAATGTAGCGGAAAATTTTTTAAAAATTCGTGCCCAATATTTTTAATACAAAAAATCTCAAGAGAAACATTCAAACAAAAAAATTGAAGTCTATTGACTCTTTCCTATCGAATAGGTAATAGAATTTGCGCAAGAAACAAATAGCATTTTAACGAGAATTTTCTTGAACTTTAATAGAATCCCCAAAGAATTTTTAGAGAATTCCAATATAATTTTCTAGCGAATGCACTAAGGTTTTCTATTGAATTTTTTCATACGTGTTCACTTGTACCGATAAACTCATGACTCGAAAATTGACAGGGAAAAAGTTTGTTACACTGAACAAAAAACGTCAGGAGATTTTCTACTTGTCCCAATGATGAGAATAATTTGTTGAAAGAAAGTGATTTCTCATACCAATTCTAGTTGAATCAATTTTTTCAACTGTTTTTAGTCTCAAATCCAGAATATTTTAATGCAGAAACTGCGTGACTTGGTTGGAGAAGTCGCCTTCTTCTTGTGAACCAATTATTCCTCATTTTTCGGACAAGTACAGAATCTTTTGACGAAAGTTTACTTTCTCAGTGAAAGATATGAGACTAATGTACGTACACGTGAACATATAGGGAAATAGTATATTTCAGGACGAGTGCCATGGAGTTTATTACTCGCGTGGTGTTGGCGTCCGAGCCGAAGGTGAGGACTGGCCAACCACGTGAGTAAAAAAACTCCATGGCACTAGTCGTGAAGGATATTTTTCCGTAGTGATTTTCACTTTTACGTGTTTGGGGAAGGGGCAATACCAATCCCCGGACGAGGAAAAGTGAAGGTCAGTACGGGAAAAATTATTTGGTGAATTTTAACAACTAATTGGTGAAATTATTTTCTCCGTGTACAAGTATACAAGTAAACTATTTCGTGGGAGGTGTGTTAGCAAAATATTTTCAAATTTCGTAATAGTATCTTATGTGATAAGGCGATAAAAGTATTATCTGGCGAATGTGTCGGTAATCCTCGCCTTCGGCTCGGATTATAAACTCACATTCGCCAGATAATGCTTTTATCGCCGTGTGACATACGATATTTTATGCTGAGCGAAGCGAGGTTAGAATCGCGGTTTATCGGGCCTAATGACAAAAGGAATTTGTGATTAGCCAAGTAAACGTCAATCCTCCGAACTCAATTATTGATTGGTAAAATAATTCGGAATTTGGATATTTAAATGTTGATTAATAATTTAAAATTGATGAGTACTATTAACAATTCACATCTTCATAAATTAACTTTATTTAACATTTACGATTCGGCCGATGTCTGTAGCCAAGGTTCAAAGAATACTTTTCCCAGGAGTGTCGAATCCTGTTTTTCATCACATTATGCAGAAAGTCGGATTTTGCGCGGATTAAAAAAAAAAATTACGTTGAGACTTCATAGAACTCAAATAATGCTCATTACAAAATGTTCGGTGACTTAGTTAAAATTGCGATTGGATAGAAGCTCTGATGCTCAACTGCAAATGTTGAGAAGGATTTTAACGACCGAAAGAACTGTTGAAGTCCTTGGATATCCTTAAGCACCAGAAAGTTTCGTACACTCTCATTGGATTCATGATCGTTATCCCGTTTTTATGGTAATTTCATTCCGTTTGGGATGAATACGTCGATTGGTTCGCTGGATAAATTCAAACATTGAACGATTCACTTGAATTCAGCCGTGAATGGATAACAAAATGATTTTTTGCACCTCATTAAGGGAGATCTCTGTGAAATCTAAGTCTCCTGATTAATCAGATTGCCCCTCACTTTAGCTAAAAAATATGCCGATAATGACTTAATTTGCAGGAAAATGTCCAGAGAATGTTTCGTTGGAAATTTCTTCGGTTACAAAAAAAACAGTCCCCCGTTTGCTTTCACAGGAAGAAAAACGACTTAATATCACAAAACTTAATGTCAGAGATGAGAAAATAGCTGAAAGTACTAAAAACTTTGACCCAGTGAATTATGGATCAAGGATTTTCGTATTTGAGGATATCCAAGTATCTTTTGCAGTTTGATACAGACCACACTATAAATTCAACCATTTTTAATCATCAAATTTGTCAATTAAGGTGTTTCGTATGAAAAGTCAAAATAATGAAAAAAAATTAGAAAATTCACGAGAGAAATTTCTGAGTATGCTGCATCAGTGAGAATTCTTGCACATTTTTTTCAGATCTCAGTCTCAAGACAAAAAATAATGAAATTTGGATGTTTTTGTAACCCCTCTAGCTATAACCTCCGAGGTTACCCCACCCTCAATTAGGGAATTTTCCATGGCACCCAAAAAACTAATGAAATATTGAGGAAAAACTAATGGGTGATAAATCAAATCTTTCTTGAGAACACGTATAAGTTTCAGATTTTTCAGATTTCGTAAGAAAATTATTTGAACAAATGATTCGGAAAATTATGAGTTTCGGGGCAATTCCGCGCTCACGCGCAGGCGCGTAATTCGAATGTCAGTGAGCATCATAGGAAATGTATGCGTTGGACCATGGAACTGAGAGAGAGAAAGAACTCGACAGGTTTACCAACTCGAGACGCATTTTAATAATATTTCAATAATTAGAAAAACATCCAATAAAAATTATTTGACACCCGTAGGTGATGGGAAAAAAATCAATCAATCTGATAAATAAAATCAATATTCAAAAAATGTTCGAAGGCACACTTAAATAGTTACTTGAAAATTGGAAAATTTCGTGCTCAGCGATTGAATCAGGGCTCGAGAACAATAAGGCTCCCCTTCCATTTCTCCCTACCCGGTGATCTACATATACACGAAACACCTTAAACTGACTCGTCCCCTCACTGAATAATCGAGCTCGTGTCACTGTCAACTGTTCTGTCAGTTCTTAGCAGACTCAAAAATGATTACAACAAAATGAAAATATATCACTTTCGGATGATTTATTACCTTCGGAAAAACGCAACACAAATTTTCAAGGTTTTACAAAATATTGGTCACAATGATTAGGATTTTCTCCAATGTAAATTCACAGTATTAATGGTGGTACATCATCATCATCATCATCATCATCATAATTAATGCGAAACAGGTTAAATTACATGGTTAATCGTTTTTTCTCGACAGATGTGATCAACAGGGTGGGGGATCACGAACACAAAACATCTAATGAACTCGGCAAATCCGATAATTTGGTGGTAGGATAATTATCCTTGGATTTTGTGATAACAGAGGAAGATAATAGGATCATTAATTTGTTCTGTGGGGGGCGGGGTTTGTTTCCTGATAAAATTAACATAGAAAAAATAAGATATTGTTGATTGGGACGTTGTGCTTGGAACATCCGGGTTTCCGGTTACACTTATGGGTATCATGCCTCGACCTCTTCCTCCTTTACCTTCTTGTCCTCGCCCTTCTTCGACCAGTCCGGCTTTTTCTGAAAAATTTAATAAAGTCCAGGATTATTCTCATTGGTTATAATTGATTTGGTGTTCGTCATTGGAAGACATTAGACATTTTCGAAACTAATGCTGTGTTAGGACACAAACAAACATCGATTTAGTCACTATTACTGCTTAGACCTTTTTCATGTCAGTAGATGAATTACTCTATCTGCTATTTCAAATGATATGGATCTAATTGCTAACCATGAAGTTTATGGATTCATGTGAAATTTATTTTTTCGGATATGATTTACTATTTTTAGAATAGTTAAACATTCGAGAGAAATTGCACAGAGATTTTTTTTCTTGAATTAACAACACGTGGAGACGTTAGAAAAAATCGTATAGAGATGTTCTATAGGACATTCATGCAGGAGGATTTTATATGGAACTAGGGGGCTACGCCCCCTGCTCGCTCCGCCCGCCAACCCTCATATGACCCATATATGACCCCCATATGATCCTCATATAGACCCTTAGTTTTTGACCCCCATAACCCTTATTAGGACCCTTACTGTGACCCTTACGACCTTTAGTCTGAACCTTGCTACCCTTTTTTGGTCCCTTAATCTGACCCTTGCAACCCCCAATCCGACCCATATGACCCTTAATCTGATTCTTATTGCCCTCATTTGGACCATTATTCTGACCCTAATGACCCTTAATCTGATTCTTGTTGCCCTTATTTGGACCATTATTCTGACCCTCATGACCCTTAATCTGACCCATAATCTAACCCTCGTGACCCTTATTCTAATCCTCATAACCCGTATTCTGATCTTCGTGACCCTCATTCTGACCCTTTGACCTTCGTGTCCCGCATTCTGACCCTTATTCTAACCCTTGTGGCTCTTATTCTGACCCACACGACCCTTATTATCACCCTCATGACCCTTATTTTGGCCCTTGTGACCCTTAATATTGGACTCTTAATTTTGAGTAACAAATTTTCATCACCAGAAGTCGATTTGGATTTTTATAATATAGAGAGATTGTATAGAGAAAAAGAAAGATAATTCTCATGAAGATAATTTCATCGAAAAATAGTTCATTTCTCTCTGTATATTATCTGAACAGATCCACGCCAAATCAGCGGGACAAAAAACAATATCTCCTAATAAAACAAGGGTATTTCAATTTTCTTTTTAAAACGAGGGTTTCTCAAAATTCATGTGAATGCTTGTTGTTCACATCCATTTCGAAGTCTCATGGAGCTCGCAAACCATTTTATTTCTCTTCCAATGTGAACTATTTCATGTTATATGTACTTTTTGATGCATTCATACCATTTACACAGATGTTAAAGAAGGAAAACGTGAGATTTCCGAGGATTTTTCATATGAATTGTGAGATACCCTAGTCTTAACAAGAATTTTGAGATACCCTTGTTGTAAAACTAAAATTGAAATACCCTTGTTTTATTAGGAAACGTCGAAAAGTCGATGCTGGAGATTTTCGTCTCATTTTTTTCTGAAAAGATGACGATTAGGCGAAAATTTTGGAAGAAAAAAAATTGAAAAATATTGATAACTTAGTGAGTTGTGATTTTTTGAAAATGGTTAATTTTTCTCCAATAAATTTTTTTTACAAATTGGCCTTGATATTTCTGCGAGGTTTCAAGCTATCAAATCGCGCTTCCGCACACTCAAAGAACATGAAAAACCCTTCAAAATGAGATATCATACATAGCATTATCTTCAGTTTGACGGGATTTATACATGAAAAGGTTTTGTTTTAAGCGTTAATTACTCTTCGTTAGTCTACGTTAGTCTCGGTCCTTACAAAAATTTCTATAGATAAACTCCGTACGTATGACATACACCAAACCTATAGAATTTCCTCTATGAATGTCCAGAAGAAGGTCTCTAGATTTTTTCTTTCACGCACACACTGTTCATCAAATGAAAATAACTATCACATTGTCCTGATTAAGAATTCAATGACATGAAAGCTTGAAAATAGGGTTATTGGAAAAAATAGGAATTATTCTCTCTAACAGCTGTGCCGCAGTAGTTTTCAAGATACACAGAAAATTTTCCATTCCATTAAATTCACTCGCCCAATGTCTTGACAACTGTTCGGCGAAAACCTTTGTTTTTGTTATTTACACAGTGGGAAAAATCTTCAATTTTCAGGAAAATGTCACTGATTGTTCAGAATTTATCACATGACCCTGTTATCAGATCACTGTTATCAGTGATTTTTATTCCTGAAATTTGGTGATGGATTCCTAAAAATTCAGTAGCGGGGCGCTAAACAGGTTTAAGTCGATTTGGACTATTGGTCAGTTTTTACTGATTATTTTTCCCAATGGGATTTCGACCAATCAGAGCACAGTATTTGAGGCCATTCGACGGTTTTATTTTGGATATTTCTTCCTAGCTTTTGAATATTTCGCAGTAGTTCTTAATTTTTTTTACCTGATTATTTTTGGTAATCGGATCTGGTCTTCCCTGAGCCAATCAGAGTTCAGTATTCAATAACATGAAGTACTTCCCAATTAAAATTACAGCGGTTATTTCCCCCTAGCTTTTAATAATTTCCCTGTAGCTTTTGATAATTCCCCTCTAACTCTGCAATTGTTTCTCTAACCAAATAACTGTCAAATCTTATCCTGTGGACTGAAAGAGTCATGAAGAAAGTCAAAATGAGTCGATTTGGGAAGGATCCGATTACAAAAAATAATCCGTCGAATACCACTCGACCTTCAAAATTAATCGGACATTTCCCTCATGTTTTCCTGCGTATCAACGATCGGGAACTTAAATAAATCTGCAAAACTTCTCCCTCTCGTTGCTACGCAACAAAACAATCGGGAAATATCCGATAATTTTGCAGGTCTCGTGGTATTACTACTGATTATTTTTCCAACCCAAATATTGGGCAATATAATTGGCCCATTGGACATCACGTGGTACAAGCTACAGGTTTCTCAACTGATAATTTTTTGATAATTTTCGCTGATAGTTGTTATAAAAAACAAAATATCATGCAGTCGAATTAACCCCTCGTCAAACTGACAGATTGAATTCAATTGTGTTGTTGTGTTAATTATACAATTTTCGTTTCTCAATTGTGAGTTTCGTCTCATGGTCCAATTATATTGCCCGACATTTGGATTGGAAAAATAATCCCCCGAATACCACACGAGCTTCAAAATTAATCGGGCATTTTCCTCAAGGTTCCCTGCATACAAACGAAGTCGTCAAGTTTTTCAGGAAAAATCACTCGTGCTTCGCACTCGTGATTTTTTAACTTGAAAACCTTGACTCCTTCGTTCGTTTGCAACGAACTTATCGGAAAATACCCGATAATTTTGAAGCTCTTGTGGTATTACAAGTGAGTATTTCACAGTAGCTCTTCATTTTTTCGGCTCTTTTCCGATAGAATCTTATATTTGACAGTCTATGGAAATGGGGTTATTCCATTAACATATTATAATTTGTTCAAATCTTCCCCAATTCACCTCCTGATGTTGTATATTGCACTCTGCTTGGCCAAAATCCGATTGGGAAAAATAATCCGATATATACCCCTCGAGATTCAAAATTAATCGGGTATTTCCCTCAAGCTCCCCTTGGAAACAAACCATCATACCAAGTTTTGCTGAAAAATTCCTCGCGCAAGTGCTCAGGATTTTTCCACTTGTAGAACTTGACATCCTCATTTGTTTGCAATGAAGCTATCGGGAAATACCCGATAATTTTGAAGCTCTTGAGGTATTACTGCTGAATATCTCGGAGCCGAAGAGAGATATAACAAATTTTTTGTAATGACCTTTTTTGTAGAGCGAATTGAGAGCTACAAAAAAGGTTCAAAACTCCGCGAAGAGCTAAGTCGACTTAAACCGGTTTACCGCTTTGCTACTAAATTAGAGATAGATCTCTAAAAATCAGTGTCATTTCTGTAAAAATTAGTGATGATGTCCCTGAAAATTAGTGACGCCATTTGGTGACAAAACCACTGAATTTCAATATTCTGCAAATCACTGAATTTCACAATTACGAATTGCTAATAATTGGGGCTAAATTCTTGAAAATCAGTGACATGCCTCTGGAAAAAACTGAGATATGCCTGAAAATCAGAGACATGTCCTTGAAAATAATTTGTTTCTCTGTGATAAAGGGGCATTCCCTTGCCTTCCCAAAAAATTTATTTGCAATCTTTCATGTCATTGGGTTCTCGATCACGATAATGTTCTCAATTTAAAGAACAGGATTTTCCATTTAATGAACATAGTTTGTCATTCAGGTACATTTTTCGTGTTGAAGAAAAAAATATTCTCAATGTTTACTTATGAAAATCATGATTTTTAACTCGTGCTGCGGGCGAGTGTGATGCTATACTACGAAAATCAACTGAGATTATTCTAGATTAAAATTCTTTTTTAGATAGTTAGAAATTAGGTCATTCCCGCCATCGCAAATGATACTCTAGTACTTTTCTCGCGCCTGCGACGTCAGTTAACTTTTTACCTTATCTTTTGACGCATTCTGCAAACAATGCAAGAGCAAGACATTAGTCAAGTGAGACATGGACCATTGGTTAAACAAAATACCGATGTTTAATTATTTACAACGAGAATCTGCACCACGTGGTGATTCAGTTCTATCTACATGTGAAAATTCTTTATTTCAGGGCAGTCATTTCCGCATGCTCCAAGTCGGGAAATGAATCCCTGAATCAAATAATAATAATATGATAGCAATCTTGCAACTTAGGGATAAAATATTTCGCAGCTACACGTTCCTATGAATGTGTCTCGTGTGAATCATCCATTTTTTAAGGGAAGACTACTATGAGTTTTAAAAGTCGTCGGTTATTGGAGTGAGAGTTTTCATACGTTGAAGATCGATTATATAGATCTGAAAACTAATAATTAATGCAAAAAAAAAATTTTTTTTATTGTTCGTTTGCCCGAAAACGCTTAAAATGCCAAAAACAGTCCAGGGCCTCCAATTTTTGAGCTACGAAGGATTTTTTCTTTTCAAAATTTTTGGAAAAATATGGGGAATAACAATTACGAGCTATTTTTTTTTAATTCGCCTCTTAATGGCTAACTTTGCTTTCTTGTATTTTTTTACACAAATAGTGAATTTTTTTATATATAAAAAAACCGAAATCAGTTGTGTAGAAGTCGAATTCCGGAAAACAGGCTCGTAATTGTTGTTCCACACATTTTTCCGAAAATTTTTAAAAACAAAAATCTTTTGTAGCTCAAAAATTGGAGGCCCTGGACTGTTTTTAGCATTTTAAGTGTTTTCGGGCAAACGAACAATAAAAAAATTTTTTTTTTTGCATTAATTTTTTGATCTATATAATCGATCTTCAATGTATGAAAAGTCTCACTCCAATAACCCACGACTTTTAAAACTCATAGTAGTCTCCCCTTGAATCAAATATTATATTTCATTATTGTCGAAAGCAGAGTAATTATTCATGTTTGAGACTTCACGGAAAAAAGAATATACTCGAATCAATATACTTGATTCAAGTATATTTTATACTGAATTCAAGTATATATTTTTTTGTTTCAAATTCGAATCAAACCATTTCCTTTTTGGTAATTTTCAAATTGCGATTTTGTTGGCTCTAACAAGACTTGTTCTAGAACTTGTTTGTTTACCTCTCCATGTAATATAATCATCCTACAGTTCAAAATAATTGTAATACCTGGAACCTTACCGGAATCACCCGGAAATGACTGACCTGGAGAGATACGCTTCCGAAAAAATAATCTTCGACTCAAGAAAATGTTTATTTAGCAGAAATATATTTTTTTCAGTTTACACTATATTTTTAAAATTATAAATATATTTTTTTCAGTTTAATTTGAGACCTTTAAAAGTCTCAAGTTGAGACATTCAGAATTCCCTTCAAAGAAAAATTTCAAGTTGCGTTCCGAACGTCTACACTTGAAGCATTCAAAAGCATCAACTTGATTCTGTGGAAGTCTCAAATTAAGACCTTCCAAAGTCTCAACTTGTAACTTTCAGAAGGAGTAAATTGAGATTTCATAGTCTCAAATTGAGACTTTACAAACACTTAACTTAAGAATTTCAGGCTTCAAATGAAGACTTTTGAAAATCTTATTTTAAAACTTTTGAAATCGTAAAATAAAGTATTATTCTTTTGGGTATATCCAGTAAAAAAACAATTCAATTTTCTAATATTTTTACTCAGTACGGCACCTTGAAAAATCAGTAAATGCACACAAAATGAATCACCACATGACGATTTATTTCAGAATCAACATTGGTATTTAGAAACATAAATTTTTCCTGTAACTCCATGATCGGACTGTGATTGATATGCACCTAATTCGTACCTTTCAAAACCATGAAAATGATCACCATTGACGTATAAAAAAATATCAATCACTTATCCTTCATGGAGGCACAAATAGAACATCACAACTACATATGAATCAGCGTTTGTAAGCTCATCAGTAAATTTATAACGAATAAAAACTGTAAAAAAGGGGTAAATAGTTAGGAACAACGGGGCAGATAGAGATATCTCCATCGATTAAACTTAAAATATTGACTGGTCTCCCCTTCATTATCATCATCCGATGGTAAAATAGTCGTCGATGTTGTTTCAGCTATCTCAGACATTATAAAACTTTATTGCATTGGTCAGTACAAGCGGCTCGCGGTTATGCGCGCGGGTGAGAAAAAAGTCATAATAGATGTCTCTTGTAATTCTCACCTTGCCACGCCTGTTCTTCCATGCCGTTTATCATTTTTATTTGTCCAAAGAAACTTTCTTTCAACGACAATCGAAGATGTACATATCCCGCAGTGTTATAAAAATCGCGGTATTCACATAAAGTCGCAATATATTTGATTTTTCGAGAGGAGCGGGAGATACAGAAATTGGGATCTTTTTATTTCTCTCCGTGTATGTCTTCACTTGTATTAAGAAATTCGTGGCTTCATGGAAAATTACAAGAAGAAAATATCTTTCATTGAGAATGAAAAAACTTTCGTCAAGAGCATTTGTTCTTGTCCCAAAGGATAATTTGATTATGACAAGTGAGTGATTTCTGAAACCAAGCTTAGTTGAATCTATTTATTCAATAGTTTTCAAGTCTCAAATCCAAAATTTTTAATGCAAAAACCCCTTGGCTGGATCGAGATGTCACTTTTTTGTTATGAATAAATTGCCCCTCATCTTTCGGACAAGTACAAAATCTCTTGACGAAAGTTTTCTTTTCAGGGCGTAAGATAATTTCTTCCAGTAAATTTTCAAGCCATGAGTTTCTTGATGCAAGTAGACGTTCTTTTCAAAATACTTTTTTTTCTCAGTTTAAACGAAAAACGTTGCATGAGATAAATCTTTTTTTCATAAAAAAAAATACAGAAAACTGAAAGATAAAACTACTGATTCAATGATAAAAGTGTAAAGATTTAACTGTCCTACAGTAGGTCTGTCTCCGGGTAAAAACTACCCCGTCTGTCTCATTCTTTCTGGACTGTGGAGAATAATAATAAATTGCAAAGTCAAACAACCAACAATTTGAGAAGAGTGAGTTGCCGTTATCTTCACTTCTACAACAACTCTTTGTGCATGAAACTGACGGGAGAATCAATTGAGCTGCATAAAGAAGTTATTTGAAACATAAGTTTGAATATTTTTTGCAAAGTTTCTGAAACTTCGTTTGGCATCTGGTTAGAGCTTGAACGGTGGGAGAATAGTAAATGAAAACATGAAATTTTATGTTTTTTCGAACAGTGTACACTGAGAGAAAAAACTACTTTTGACAAAGAAGGTTTGCTTGATACAAGAAAGTATTCTCTTGTCAGTTTTAAAAATCGTGAAATCTCCTGATAAATAATTTCGTTCTCAGATTGAGAATAAAGTTTTCCAACAGCGGATTCTCTCGATCCTCTCGATTCTCTCAAGACCAGAAATGATGCTCTTCCCATAAATTCGTGTGGTTTGTATTATATCTAGAATTCTTTTTTTAATCAGGACTTTGATTAGAGGAGACCGGGGCAAAGCGGGGTAGCTAAGACAAAGAGGCGGGTGTCAGAGCTTCTATCGTACTTTATTGCTTTTTAGCAATCACTATTCACATTCTAAAATTACCAACTCACGCCTCATTCAACTCACTTGAATTCAGTAGCGAAGTGGTAAAACGATTCAAGTCAATTTCGACTATTGGCCAGTTTTCAGCAAATATCTCAGAAGCTAATGGAGATAGCAAAATTTTTGTAGAGCCAATTGAGAGATACAAAAAATGTAATTACGAAAATTCCGCTTTCCCCCGTAGATTCGGAAATATTCCTCAAAAACTCAACTGGGAGATAAGTCTACTTACGCCGTTTTACCATTTCGCTACTGAATTGATAATGAAAGTATTCGTCGTGCAACCGAAAGAAGAATTCCTCAGTTGGAGATGATGAGTGATCAGATCAGGAAAGTCTGAATTCTCACAATCCATTAAATTCTATATATAACGCAAAACTATATGAATTTATGGGAAGACTGATGCTAACACTTGAAAGTTTTCTCGGGACGAGAGAATCTCATCCTGCCGAAAGACTTCTTTCTCTCACTGTGAGCACAAAATTATTTACCAAGAGATTTCACGATTCTAGAAATTGAAAAGAGAACATTTTCCTGTATCAAGGAAATCATCGTCGTCAAATGCAATTTTCTCCACTAAATTATTTTGTCCACGGACTACCTCAATTAGCTATTCAAATAATGTTACATCCACACGGAGAGAAATGTTCAGTAAAAATTACGGAACTCATAATTCCCTCGCCGATTACGGAATCGACTTGGAAAATTTAAGTGACGGTATCGTAATTTTTTCCAGGAAATTCAGATAAAAATTACGGAACGCTCCGGAAAAATCCCGTGACAGTTCCGTAAAATTTCCTACAACCACATTTCGCTCCGGAATTACGGAAAAGGTACGTAATTTTTATTGAATATTTCTCTCCGTGCAGCTGTGATGCACAGGAGCTTCTGTGATCTGATGAATATTGAAGACCATTTACAGTACAAAAAAAAGATGAAGCAAAAAGACCCTCTGAGTTACGGAAAAACGCTAGTATAAATTTACTCGTCTCGAGATAGTGTATTTCCCTCTATGGTTTATGGTGTATTACACATCATACATATATAATATATGAATACATAATATATGTATGTATATATACATGTATAGAGAATGTTCACCGGTCAATGCAAACATCCTCAGTATTTGAATATTGCAGCCCTCTGGTACTGATGCATTCCCTATTTGATATTACAAAATGGATATAAATGAGTGTATTTACCTCCTTATCCTCCTCCTCGAGGGTGAATTCCTTCTTTTTAACCTGCTTCAACTGATTTCTGAAATTGAATTCCGCCGCCTTCTTCTGGAGCTTGGCGAACTTATTTTCATATTTGGAGACTTTTTTCAGGGCTGGCTTCATGCTGAAAATTCAATTTAAAATATAATATAGATGGAGAAATTGAATATTGTGGGGAGATTGGATTTTTACGTACAATTTTCCTCGGAGGTCGTTGACTTGGCTGTTGAGTTCGGTAATCTAGGCGCGAGTGAATGAATTAATTGATTTATCGATGGAAATTTTATAGCAGTTATAAGTGAGGATACTCCATGATAATTATTTGTATATGGAGAAATCGAGAGAAAATTCTAAAGCATTTGCCATGGGATTGCGTTGAAATTACATTACATTATATTACACGTAGAAAAGCATTTTTGTCTTCAGTGAAATGATTTTCTAATTTTGTAGTCGCAGATCAGAGGTTTCATTTGAGCCCCATTTCATCTCATGTTTCTAAGAATGAGTTGCATTAAATTATGTCTCTAAGAATGAGTTGCATTAAAAAAATCTTTTGAAAGTATTTTCTTAATATTTTACCTTGAAATATTTCTCCAGAGAATTTTCAATACGAGTCAGCAAAGAACAACTAGAATTTCCATTTGAATTTCCCATCGAATACATTAGGATTTCCTCTCGAATTTTTCCACACGTGTTACAATTCTTCAATCAACTAGAAGCGGATATTCACTGCCTCAGAAGCATTGAAAAAGTGAAAACCACAATGTTCGATTTAAAAACAAAAATACAAAAGCGGCAATAATTGTCAGAGCGGGAAATCACATTAGGAACTAGTATTATTGTAAAACAAACAATTGAAGCAGAAGAACAATGCATTTGCGTCACACGAATAGTCATGGAAAGCAGTAAACTTCTGACAAATGATCTCACTGTCTGGACAATCTTCAAGGCTCTAGAAATATCTGTAAATCCTATAGAAACAAAGTTATTTTCTGTAATATTTTGAACAGGTGCCTAGGGAGATGGACGATCGGCTCGTCAGGATCGCTTCCAGGTCACACATCCACTCATGCTTACACACTCAATATTTTTTGGAAATTCGTACGTCGTTTCCTATTTTTCATTTATTGATTTTTTTCCTTTAGAAAGTTCTCGTACTTCTCTAAATAGAAAGATGAACAATCGATAAATTTACACCCAGAGATTTCTATGAACATCTTTTTAATTTTCGATCAAAAAAAAATACGGAGAAAATTATGGAATTCCCGCATAGGAATCAGGAAAAAAAATTTCTATTTATTTTCTGCACCGACTCTATTAAAAATTATGAACCCCCCCCCCTGCGTTTTTAAATAACCATTTGTTTATGGAAAAATGTTTATAGATGTTGATTTTTCTATACAACTTCTGCCGTTAAGACGTTTTCTATGAGAATTCTTGGCCCTGATTTTTGTAATTTTTTTCTTTGATTTTTTATGAGGAACGAATGAAAGTACAGTAAAGGCTTCGTGTAAGATACCTCTCTATAAGATACCTCGCGCACCGAGCGCTCGAGGCCTACCCCCTCTCGGCACTTTTATCGCCTCCCGAATGTTTATGTTCCGTTGGCTTCTTATAAGATGCCCATGGCCCCGGTCATTTTTCAACGGGAAGAGAGTAATTATAAGGTTCAAACGGTGTTAAGGGTCAAACGGGACGGGCGAACGAAGTGATCATGAGGGTCTAATGACCTCAAGGGGGGGGGGG